TGTCAAAGTAACGGATACATTTGTGTTTTACGAGAATGACACGGCTTGTTGAACCAAATGAGAGAGTGCTAGTACCTTCGAAGTGGTAGATGAAGCGCAAAGGGACGAAGTGACAGCAGATTCACACCAAAAGGACAAGAATCTTAATCGAGCCATTGAAAACGTTAGAAGATTAGGCCGTGTATCTATAAACCCTAGAAGTTTTAGTTTTAAATTCTTGTAAACTGCGTGTTACAACATGTACAGTTGTGTACTATGTATGTAGTGGCCTCGAGCCGGCCTCGACCCGAGTCCTCGAGTCCGGCCGGAGGGCTCGAGTCCGAGTCCGAGTTCGAGTCATTGCACTCCGAGGCCAAGACCGAAACCGAGACCATGAAAAACGGTCTCGAGGCCGGTCTCGAGGCCAAGACCGGTCTCGAGACCTACAACACTGATAGCAGAGCGTATAATTATGCGTATGTCTTAAATTATTTGTCCTAGATGCAAGCAGAACATATTGAATATTTACTGCGTTACGCAACATTCCATAATACAAACGCACTTCTACTCACTGATTTAACTATTAGTCCTTACTGCGCTAACAGCGTTACGGTCCCTACTGTGTTATTACTGTGTGCTGAGCTAATATTCCATGATAAATAATGATATTGATAGTCTCACTTGTGATACGGTTATGGTACCACACGTTGCCTTACGTTGTATTTAGTTATGTTCGCTCTTGCATTCTTCACATTTTTCCTAACTAGACAATGTACACTTGCTCCCTTTCTTATGTTAACCTTTATTATTAATCGATGTTTAAAATTAATTAATTTAATCAATTAATCGATTATTAGTGCCCACTGTTCCCATAATTAATCGGTCGGTTCTTGTGTGCATCCGGCGCGCGAGGAAAGAGAATGGAATAGAAGAAAGAGAGAGAGAGAGAAAGAGAAGATAGAGAGAAGAGAGTGAGAGAGAGACAAGAGAGAGAGAGAGAAGAGTGAGAGACAAGAGAGAGCGAGAGAGAGAGAGAGAAAGAGAGAGCAAGAGAGAGCGAGAGAGAGAGAGAGAGAGAGAGAGAGAAAGAAAGCGAGAAAGAGAGAGGAGAGACAAGTAGCATGTTGCTCGGCAGTCTCTCTCAGACTACGTAGTCTCTCTCAGCTGAGTTGTGAAGTGTGGCGGCTTTCAGCGCGCGACCGCCACGCGCGTACTTGTCCCTGCCGACAGTGTCATCCTACTTGACACTGTCTGTTCGCGTTATTTATATCTGCACGGATTTAACTGTATCTATCTAGGCGGGATCTATCTGTACGGATTTAACTGTATCTATCTAGGCGGGATTTATCTGTACGCGGGATTTACATTGATATTCCGCTTAGACGAGTGCGCTGCGAGAACGTGGGTAGGCACGAGTGCCGCCCTGTAATGAAATATACACGTTTGTAGACACGAAAAAGGGGAAGTATGAGTAAAACAGAGAGGGGGTAGAAAGAGGTGACCGCGGGGAAGAGAGAGGAGGGAGGGAGAAGGGGAGAAAGGGGAAGAGAGAGAGAGAGCGAAAGAGAGAGAAAGAGAGAAGAGAGCGAGAGCGTGGTGTGATGCGCGTGGGCGTGGGCGTGCGTGCGTGTGTTTGCGTGCGTCGTTGCTTTGCGTGCGGTGTGTTGATCGCGTGCCGTGCGTGCGTGTGTTTGCGCTGCGCGGTGTGTGCTCGCGTGCGTGCGTGCGTGCTATCTTGCGGTGCGCATGTGTGTTAATGCGTGCGTGTGTTTGCGGTGCGTGGCGTGTATTTTTGCCGTGCGCATTGTGTTTGGGCGTGCGTGCGTGTAAATCGCGCTGCGCATGTGTGTTTGCGCTCCGTACTTGGCGTGTTCATGGTGTGTGAACAGGTCTCTGCCAATGTTCCGCGCTTCGTTACGTATTTCATTATTCAAGCTCGTAACTTTCAGCATCGTACGTCGTACTAGATAACCAGTCACTCTGTTGATCATGGCGCAACCAAAACAGCTACGCGCCATTTCACAGTTATTTCTGTTACGCGCAGCGGCTCAATGTAAAATTATCATAATGCGCTGCAGTTCTGATAATATACACGCGTGGCGTATGTATTTGCCATGTGTCTCACTTTAAATAGCGTTCATTCAATTACAAGTTGTCGTGTGCGATCTGAGATTTATATCAGTGTGAGGATCTGCAACTGAAAACAATATGGTCGCCCTACCGTGTTAGATGTAGCCCGCAAGGTTTGCTTGAGTAAAATTCTATATCTATGAACGCATTGCTAAAAGCGAAGATATTGTCTATATAATATGGAGTGTAGTAATACGTGGCGTAATATATACGTGTATAATATGAGACGCTCGTGTCGCATTTTTTATAAATGTCCACTGTTTTCCGCGCCGACACACTACATCGCACGTATATGCACATGATCACCGCACAATAACACCCACGCGCGCACTGCGCAGCGTCCACGCCCGGCACCACACGCACGCGCCGCTCCACGCACGCACTCGACACACGCACGAGGCGCGGTGACGCACATGGACACCCAACCACACCCACACCAAAGGACACACACACACACACACTACACCACACACACACAACAGCGTCGCATCACAGACCATCCGCAATTCGAATCCATTTTAGCGCGACCAATCTTGGCATACAAGAGCTCAGTGCATGGGGGATAAGGTTAATTATAAATTTAATTACAAACATTTTGTTTTTGCGACATTAAATAGTTTCACGCCATTACCGGCGCGTGTGGTAAATTAATGCAATCTAAGAAGTACTGTGAAATCGCCACATACACATGCCATGTCTACATGCTTTAACGTTTGCAGACACCACACATAGTCTCACACTCTATCTCCACGCTTCTCTCTCCTCCTCGCTCTCTCTCTCTCGTCCTCTCTCTCTTTCCTCTCTCTCTCTGCCTCTCTCGTCTCTCCCTCTCTATCTCTCTCTGCTCTCTCGTCTCTTCTCTCTCTGTCTCTCTCTCTCGCTCTGCCTCTTCGCTCTCTGCGCTCGCTCGTCGCTTGCTCTTCTCTCTCTGCTGCTCTCTCTCTCTCTCTCTCTCTGCTCTCGCTTTCTCGCTTCATCTCCTGCTTTCCTCTCTCGTCGCTCGGTTCTCTCTCTGTCGCTCTCGTCGTTTTCTCATCCTTGCTCTCTCTCGTCCGCTCTTCGCCTCGCTCTCGCTCTCTTCTCGCTTCCTCGCTCTCTCTCTCGCTTCTCCTCCTCTTTCCTTTCCCTTTTCTCCGCTCTCCCCTCCTTCGTCTCTCTCCCTCCTCGGTGCAACACTCTTTACCCTTCTGCTGTTTTAACTCAATTACTCCCTTCTTTCGTGCTCTACAAACGTGTTAAATATTTCATATACAGGGCGGCACTCGTGCCTACCACGTTCTCCCGCAGCGCTCGGTCTAAGCAGAATATCCAATGTAAATCGCGTGGCAGATAATTCCGTATCAGATAGATCCCGCCTAGATAGATAGCGTTAAATGCCGTGCAGATATAAATAACCTCGATACAGACAGTGTCAAGTAGGATGACACTGTCGCAGGGCACAGTACGCGCAGTGGGCGGATCGCGCGCGTGAAAGCCGCTCACACTTCACACACGTCGGGCTGAGCAGCGAACTATAACGTAGTCTGGAGAAGACTGCCGACAACATGCTCTTGTCTCTCATCCTTTCTCTCTCGCTCTTCTCTGCGCTCTCTCTCTCCTCTTCTCTTTCTCTCGAACTCTCCTCTCTCTCTCTCTCTCATCGCTCTCCTCTCGGATCTCTCGTCCTCCGGCTGCCTCTCTCTCTCCTGCTCTTCTTCCTCTCTCTCTCATCGTTGTCTCTATCTTGTCTTGTTCTCTCGTCTTTTCTCTCTCTCACTCTCTTCTCTCTCTCTTTCCTCTCTCTCTCTCTCTCCTCTGCTGCCTCGTTTCTTCTATTCCCTTCTGCTCGCGCGCTCGCGCGCCGGGATGCCACAAGCAAGCCGACGGATTACTTATGGGAACAGTGGGCGCTAATAATCGATTAAGTTTGATTAAATAATTATTTTAAACATCGATTAATAATAAAGGTTAACGATAAGACAGGGAGCAGTGACATTGTCTAGTTAGGAAAATTTGGAAGCATGGCAAGAGCGAACATAGCTAAATACACACGTAAGGCAACCGGTGTAGTCACATAAGCCGTATATACAAGTGAGACTATCAAATATCATATTTATCGATGCGAATATTAGCCGCTCAGCACACAGTAATAAAACGCAGTAGGCCGACCCTAACGCTGTTAGCGCAGTAAGGACTAATAGTTAAATCAAGTGAGTTCGAAGTGGCCGTTGTGTAATTATGGAATGTGGTAACGGCGTAAATACTCAATATGTTGCTGGCTTGCAATCGACAACTATATTTAAGACATACGCATAATTATACGCTCTGCTATCAGAGTTGTAGGTCTCGAGACCGGCGCGAGACCGTTTTTTCTTCGTTTTCGGTTTTCAGGTCTTGGCCTCGGAGTGGGGCAATGACTGAGCTCGAACTGCGCGCTCGAACTCGACCTCCCGGCCGGACTCGAGCACTCGGGTCGAGGCCGGCTGCGAGGCCACTACTACATAGTCACAACTGTAGCATATTGTAAAGCCCAGTTTACGAAGAATTTAAAACTAAACGCCTAGGTTTCTAGATCCCGGCCTAGATCTTCTAACGTTTTAAAATGCCGCTGCGAATTAAGAATTTCTTCGTCCTTTTGGTGTGAATCTGCTGTCCACTCTCGTCCTTTGCGCTTCTTTCTACATTCGAAGGTACCTAGCACTCTCTCATTTGGTTCAACAAGCCCGTGTCATTTCTCGTAAAACACAAATGAATCGCGTTACTTTGAACGTTTCCGTATGACTCGTGTTTCCTGTGTTTTCCGGCTGGCTGATACACTTTCGAAATGTCCTAGCGATGCAACTGTTTTGCGATGTTTTCCCTTTTCTCTTTTTCGATTTTCCCCTTTTCCCCGATTTTTCCATTTTTTTCAGATTAATTTCCGCGTTGTTTTTTATGGCAAACTGGAACTCGAGGACTCGAGCTCAGAACTCGCGGTGGTGTGGTACTCGGACTCGGACTCGGACTCGGAAGCTCGGATGGCGCGGCACTCGGCACTCGAACTCGGCTCGGGGGTGGGCGGACTCGACTCGACAACACTGTCTGCTATGACACTACTTGTCATACGGAAGATTCTTCCTATGACACATATTGGGCGAGTCAAACTTCGTTCCGGGGCTTCCCTGAAATTTACTGCTTTGTGCGTTCCTATAGCGCCTCTAAACTCTTATGATGGCGCCACAAACACATCCAACATATTTGGTGCATAGGAAGAATCTCTCCTATTAGCAAAACGTGTCATAGAGAGCGTATTTGCGTAAATGTCGCGTATTTGTCATAGATGCTAGCAGAACAGGCTGAAATTTGGCAGCAGACGTACGTCGATCTAGTCGTGGCATCGGCCGAGATAATATCATAACAGACATGAAAGTATACATTGCGATAGTCAGTCCCTACACAGAAACGATCCTGTGAAGATATCGCCCGGCTGCACAGAAAAGTTTATAGACGATAAACGGCGTGTGTCTTTCTTTTTCTTTTATTTATGTATAGTGCTTGACTTGGGCGCCGGCGTCACTATGGAGAACAATAGGCGTGAGTCGGCTTGACTCCTTGGGTCGAGAACAAAAAAAAAAAAAGAAAAAAATATGTAGCTGATTGGTCATTCTGTTTTATTTCGCCTGTTTCTACAATTGTGTTTTTGCAAATTAAAGATTTATTTCGTCTAACCCCCAGGCCGGGTTCGCGGCCAAGCCCTGCGTGCCTCGTATGTTGTAAATCGTCTGGTATTGTAAGAAAATACGACATTCAGGACCGATACATTTACCTTATAGTATAATATGTGCTGTATGCTCGGGCACGCGCTTGGCGTACGTGTGGTCGCGTGTGTGTTCGTCTTTGTGTGTGTGTGTTGTGTGTGTGTGTGTGTGTGTCGTGTGTGTGTGTGTGTGTGTGTGTGGTGTGTGCGTGTGGCGTGCGTGCGTGTGCTTGTACGTGTTGTGTGTGTGTGTGTGTGTGTGTATGGGTGTGTGTTGTGTGTGTGTCGTGTGTGACGCGGCTCGCGTGTGTGTGTGTGCGCGCGTGCGTGCGCTGCGTGTGCGCGCGTGCCGTGCGCGTGCGTGCTGGCGCGCGTGTATGGCCAAGCATTTTGTCATCATAATGTCGTAGAAACCCACGTTCTTCGCACGCCAACCCAGGTTTGCGTGCCCACAAAACCTAGTTTTCTTGCTAGCCAAGAAACGACGGGTCTTGCCGAATGAACTAGGTATGAACCTGAACTAACCATCATCTTCATGGGATGAAACCTGGTTTCCTAGCCCTATAAAACACGCAGTTATAGCTGGAACAGTTTTTGAG